CAGTGCATATTTCCATTCTCTTCCTCTATTGGGATTAAGAAAAATTATGGTAACAAGTATTTTACTTCCTTTTTGCTAGCGGCTCCCTATGAAATTATTTCCTTACTTTATTATTATATAATATTATAGTATTGCTAGTTTGGCGGTATTCTGTACATGGTTGTTTGAAACTAAATGCGTTTTCAGAATTTGTTGGCTATTCTCGGAGGTAGAGACAGTAGTTTTGGCTATGGGTGGTGGATCTGTGTCTTACGGGACATTCCAGATCACAAAGCCCAGAAACCAGAAACGTTTCCTCTTGGGATTGTGGGGGTGGGGTGGGAGGGTGAGACACACTGATAGAGCTGTTGACAGTGTGAACTTTAGCAGTCATGGTAATGCTGGATCACAGTGGCATTTCTGTGTCCTGTGAAATGTGTACTATCTTGGGAACGTTGCCACTTCTTGCCCTGGGTTTTGTAGAGGTGTTAAAAAAGAAAACACCCTCCTACCTTCCAGTTGAGCCACTCTTTAGGGAGCTGGTATGGTGGTTAAGCAAGTCAAATAAACATGGAAGCCTGGTGACAAGTTCTGAAAAAGCTCTCAGTTGTTGGCATTATGTTGTAGTAAGTGTAGCATATATTTGTAACAAAGAACTGAAAATATTCCTGAAGTATTTTCTTTTCTGAAGGAGTTCACTTGTGTAAAACTACTAAATGTTGGGGTTTAGTTTTTTTAATAAAACTAGCTCTGTAAAGCTCAAAGATAAAAGTAGTTACTGTTTTAAGAATCCTTTTCCTCCTCCACTGTAACTCTTCAATTTTAAAAGGATTAATATTGGCAAATTATCAGAATGGACATTCAGATTTTGCTGTTTAAATAGCTTGGTTGCCCACTAAGAACACTGGTTCCTGTCAGATTTAAACTAAAGATACCACGGGGGCGCCTGGGTGGCTCAGTTGGTTAAGCGACTGCCTTTGGCTCAGGTCATGATCCTGGAGTCCCGGATCGAGTCCCACATCGGGCTCTCTGCTCAGCGGGGAGTCTGCTTCTCCCTCTGACCCTCTCCCCTTTCATGCTCTCTCTCTCTCTCTCTCTCATTCTCTCTCTCAAATAAAATCTTAAATAAATAAATAAAGATACCACAAAGTCTTGAACATGCCTTGTCTTCTACTTTCTCTTTCTTTGTGGCCTTAAGATCATTAAATTTAGTGACTCAGCTAATTTTTTTTTTTATCCACCTCTTAGAAAAGTTGAACGTGTTTGTGACCAAGCACTTAGGGTTATTTCCTTTAAATCAAGTGTTTGCAGCATTTTTAGATTATAACAGTCTTTGTTTACCGTGTAATTCAGTCCAATTGAGGAACTAGTAAAACTGCATTATCCAGACATCAAAGACAGGCATGTAAGAAGAGTGTACTTATACCAGGGAACTGTGATTAGGTTTCTAACAAGTGGAAAGTTACCAGGTGTCCCCAAATTAACCATTTCCATGCCAGCTAATTCTCTTTTTTGGTAGCTTTTTTAGTTCAGTCAGTTAGCGTTCTGGGTTTAAAATATCAGTTGCTCCATTCTTGAGAGTTGAGAGTGCTGCTTTCTTCTCTTCAGCACCCTTTAGACTGCTGAGACTTTGACTTGAATGGGCTACCCGGAACATCATGCATTTAAAAAACTGAGTGGGGTGTGGGGGGGTACCTGGGTGGCTCAGTCAGTTAAATGTCTGCTTTTGGCTCAGGTCATGATCCTGGGGTCCTGGGATTGAGCCCCACATCAGTCTCCCTGCTCAGCGGGGAGTCTGCTTCTCCCTCTGTCCTCCCCACTGCTTGTGCGCTCTCTCTCTCTCTCTCTTTCTCGCAAATAAATAAATGAAATCTTTTGAAAAATACTTTTAAAAACTGGGGAAACAAGGGGTTGAGTGGAGAATACATTTTAGCTTAGTTCAGAGTTGAGCTGCTGTCTTTATTCCTTGATTTTGAAGAGCAGGTTGGTGTTTTGTTTTCCTGAGATTTCTGTGAAGAGATAGATTATTTGGCCCACTTTATAGAGAAGAGGTGGGACAATCTGCCAGCTGCGTGCAGCAGACACTGGAAGTGGGACCCGTGTCACCAAGCTGTATTTCAAGATTGGTCAAGTAGGTGGCCTTGAGTCCTGCCAAACCCTGGGTTGGGGAATTGATAGAGAAGGGCTCTGTTGTGGGAGCACCCTTGACTTTAACTTCCATCAACATTCCTATCTGAGGCTCTGTTAAACCTGGGTCTCCTCAGGGGCTGAAACAAAATTTTGTATGTGTACTATAAGTAATGTGCAAAAACACTTTGATTTTGTATAAATCTTTGCTATTTGGGTATTTCAAAGGATGTGTGTAAGCATCTTACAATTTTACCTAAGTAAGCAATCACCTAGGGAAGTGGAGGTTGGGGAAGGTTTGTTTTTTTTTTTCTTTCCCACAGATGGCTTCTTGTTCCCTGCTGAAGTCTGGAACTTGGCTTCTTTAGGAGCACACCATTATAATCATTGAGATTTCTCTTTTGAAAATGGTCAAACAATTTTTACATATCACATCTAGCCACATTTTGTTGCCATAGAGGGTTTGGCTTTCTGGGTCATCAGAGGAAGATATGGATGTTTGGGAAAGGTCTGTGACCTTTTGAGGTTATCATAATAGGGGACAACTTTCTTCTTCCATTCGTCTCCCCCGTCGTCTTAGAATAATGTGTGAGGGTCTGACTTCCTTTGGCTTTTCTTAGGAGACAGGCCTCACAAAAACATACTAAGGTTGTGGAAACGCTGAGTTCCTACCAGGTGTGACTGAGATTCAAAAGAAAATTGTTCTTTATTTTGAATTCTCAGTTATTGCAGGAGACTGTTCATTTGGCTACAGGATCGGCAATTGCATGGTCATATTTGCATGTGTGAGTAGACGGCAGTGCAGTATAAACAGTATTTGCCAGAAGACCACTTATGTAGAGACAGCCAAAGCCTACGTATTTTACTTGTGTCAACCAAGAAGTTATTGTAAGACATTATCATAGCATTTCATTACTTCAGCCCTTTAAACTTTAGGTCCTTTATTTTTTTTAATTTTATTTATTTATTTGAGATAGTGAGCAAGAGAGAGAGAGAACGAGCAGGGGAGGGGTAAAGAGAGAGGGAGAAGCAGACTCCCCACCAAGCAGGGAGCCTAACTCGGGGCTCAATCCCAGGACTCCTGGATCATGACCTGAGTGAAAGGCAGACACTTAACTGACTGAGCCACTCAGGCGCCCCAAACTTTAGGTCCTTTAAGGCGCCACTTTTCAGCCATATTCTGTGGTCCCCCTAGCCTTTGGGAAAGAATCCAAACTCTTTGAAAGTGGCTTAATCTGATCTCTCTGTACTTGCCAACACATCTCACCCACTCCCCCCCCCCCCCCGAAGGACCATGCTTTCTTCTGCAGAGAGGAGTCTCCATGTTTCCTTCCCCTACTTCAGGTTTCTCCTAAGATGGAACTTCCTCCATAAAGGCTTTCCTCAATCAAAAGGCTGGATTTGGGGACTCTTTAATATGCTCTCGTAGATACTCATTCCTTCAGTTAATATTTGTGTCAAGCACTGTGTCATAGGCTGAAGATACAGAAGAAAAGAAGGAAGGGGTGGGCTTTGTCCTCACAGAGCTTATGTTCTTGTCACGGAAACTACTCCATACTCACACCTTTTTTAGAAAAGCTTTTGATTTGGAAATAATCACAAATTTATAGAAAGTTGCAAAAATTAAAATAGCACAAAGGACGATCTTGTCCAGATTTACCTATTGTTAACTTTTTACCTCATTTGCGTTCTTTCTCTCAATATATATACATGTTTTTTTCTGGATCAGTCACATACATTATGGCCTCCCCCCCCCCCCCGCCAGTACTTCAGTGTGTATTTCATAAGAGTAGAGCTATTCACTCACATGGTGTAGTTATCGACTTCCTAAATTTACATTAATAAAATACTTTTATCTAATACTCTGTACATAGTCCAGTGTTGTTAATTGTTAGTAATGTCCTGTATTTCCCATTCTGGTGCAGAATTCATTTTAGGGTCAGATCATTGCATTTACTTATGATGTCTCTTTAGGTTCTTTTGATCTGGAATGTTTACATAGCCATTCTTTGTTATGACCATGATAATTTTTTGAAAAGTACAGAGTGTGTACTACTTCTCCACCCCACCCCCATAATAGAATCTTGCTCATTTTTGGTTTATCTTATGTTTCCTTGTGATCAGGTTGAGGTAATGCATTCTAGGCCATTACACTGCATGGTAATGTATCCTCTTGGGGGGATACCATGGTATCCTTCCGTTCCTCTTTAGTGGTGATAAGTTTCATTACTCACAATGTTAACCCAGTTTCTCTCTTGTATAATTAGTGGTTTTTTTATTCCTCTTCCCTTTGCAACTAATAAGTAGCATATCAGGAGACACCTCAGTTCTGTGCAGATATCTTGATTCTCATCAAAATCCACCCCCTAGACTAATATTGAGTGATGATTCTCTTCTTATCCAGTAGTATGAACTCAAGTTCCTGTTTGGTGCAGTGGGTTATAATTCATTACTGTATTTAATTAATTTGCTGCTCAAATTGTGCCAGATTTGTCCAGTGGGAGCCCTTCTAGCTGGCTCCTATATCTTTGGGATGTGCCCTATCATTTTTTCTAGCACTTCTTACCTTTCCTGCATAACAGTATGTTCCAGGCTCATTTTGTACCAACTCTGCTCTAGCCCTGGAATCATCCACTTGTCTGAGGAGCCCTCAAACCCTTGTTTTAGCACTCAGCACACCACTTGCATATATGTCTTCCTCCGTTAGATGTATTGTACCTCCAGAGGGCACATAAATGTCAGTCGTACTCTTTTATCTTCAGCATAAGGCCTGGCACATTTGATGTTTAAGTATTTGTTGAATAAGAAAATTGGTTTTTGCTATAGTTCAGTGATTAAAATTGGGTTCCAGAATTACAATGCTGATGGGTTTTCTTTTTCTCTCCCCCATCTAGGAAGAAATGTTTACTATTTGGCGATGAAAAAGTGGTGAAAACTGACCTCATACTGGTATACAAACACTATGGGACCTGACAGTCTTGCTGCATGGGCAGCCGGCCCCCACTGATAATGTGGGGAAGCCATCAGGTCCACTGGAAAACACTAATCTGATCTTGGAAGTGGCTGGTTGTGGCAGGATGTGTCGACGATGATGATGGCAAGAAAGCAAGATGTCCGCATTCCCACCTACAACATCAGTGTGGTGGGATTGTCTGGGACCGAGAAGGAGAAGGGCCAGTGTGGCATTGGGAAGTCTTGTCTCTGCAACCGCTTTGTGCGCCCGAGTGCTGATGAATTTCACTTGGACCATACCTCTGTCCTCAGCACCAGTGACTTTGGTGGGCGAGTGGTCAATAATGACCACTTTCTCTACTGGGGAGAAGTTAGCCGTTCCCTGGAGGATTGTGTGGAATGTAAGATGCACATTGTGGAACAGACTGAGTTCATCGATGATCAGACTTTTCAACCTCATCGAAGCACGGCCCTGCAGCCCTATATTAAGAGAGCTGCTGCAACCAAGCTCGCATCAGCTGAAAAACTCATGTACTTTTGCACTGACCAGCTGGGGCTGGAGCAGGACTTTGAGCAGAAACAAATGCCAGATGGAAAGCTGCTGATTGATGGTTTTCTTCTTGGTATTGACGTTAGCAGGGGCATGAATAGGAACTTTGATGACCAGCTCAAGTTTGTGTCCAATCTCTACAATCAGCTTGCAAAAACAAAAAAGCCCATAGTGGTCGTCCTGACTAAGTGTGATGAGGGTGTTGAGCGGTACATTAGAGATGCACATACTTTTGCCTTAAGCAAAAAGAACCTCCAGGTTGTGGAGACCTCAGCAAGATCCAATGTAAACGTGGACTTGGCTTTCAGCACCTTAGTGCAACTCATTGATAAAAGTCGGGGAAAGACGAAAATCATTCCTTATTTTGAGGCTCTCAAGCAGCAAAGTCAGCAGATAGCTACGGCAAAAGACAAGTATGAGTGGCTGGTGAGTCGTATTGTGAAGAACCATAACGAGAACTGGCTGAGTGTCAGCCGAAAGATGCAGGCCTCTCCCGAGTACCAGGACTATATCTACCTGGAAGGGACTCAGAAAGCCAAGAAGCTGTTTCTCCAGCACATCCACCGCCTCAAGCACGAGCACATTGAGCGCAGGAGAAAGCTGTACCTGGCAGCCCTTCCGTTAGCTTTTGAAGCTCTTATACCCAATCTAGATGAAATAGACCACCTAAGCTGCATAAAAACCAAAAAGCTCTTGGAGACCAAGCCAGAATTCCTAAAGTGGTTTGTCGTGCTTGAAGAGACACCGTGGGATGCCACCAGCCACATTGACAACATGGAGAATGAACGGATTCCCTTTGACTTGATGGATACTGTCCCTGCCGAGCAGCTGTACGAGGCCCACTTAGAAAAGCTACGGAATGAGAGGAAAAGAGCTGAGATGAGAAGGGCATTTAAAGAAAACCTGGAGACCTCTCCCTTCATAACTCCGGGAAAGCCTTGGGAAGAGGCCCGTAGTTTTATTATGAATGAAGATTTCTACCAGTGGCTGGAAGAATCTGTATACATGGATATTTACGGCAAACACCAAAAGCAAATTATAGACAAAGCAAAGGAAGAGTTTCAGGAGCTGCTTTTGGAATATTCAGAATTGTTTTATGAGCTGGAGCTGGATGCTAAGCCCAGCAAGGAGAAGATGGGTGTCATTCAGGATGTTCTGGGGGAGGAACAGCGATTTAAAGCATTACAGAAGCTCCAAGCAGAGCGCGATGCCCTTATCCTGAAGCACATTCATTTTGTGTATCACCCAACCAAGGAAACATGCCCTAGCTGCCCAGCTTGTGTGGATGCTAAGATTGAGCACTTGATTAGTTCTCGGTTTATCCGGCCATCTGACCGGAATCAGAAAAATTCACTCTCTGACCCCAACATCGATAGGATCAACTTGGTTATCTTGGGCAAAGATGGCCTTGCACGTGAGTTGGCCAATGAGATTCGAGCTCTTTGTACAAATGATGACAAGTATGTGATAGATGGTAAAATGTATGAGCTTTCCCTGAGGCCAATAGAAGGGAATGTTAGGCTTCCTGTGAACTCTTTTCAAACGCCAACATTTCAGCCCCATGGCTGTCTCTGCCTTTACAATTCAAAGGAATCTCTATCCTATGTAGTGGAGAGTATAGAGAAGAGTAGAGAGTCCACACTTGGCAGGCGAGATAATCATTTAGTCCATCTCCCCCTGACGTTAATCTTGGTTAACAAGAGAGGAGATACCAGTGGAGAGACCCTACATAGCTTAATACAACAAGGTCAGCAGATTGCCAGCAAACTGCAGTGTGTCTTTCTCGACCCTGCTTCTGCTGGCATCGGTTATGGACGCAACATTAATGAAAAGCAAATCAGTCAAGTTTTGAAAGGACTCCTGGACTCCAAGCGTAACTTAAACCTGGTCAGTTCTACTGCTAGCATCAAAGATCTGGCTGATGTTGACCTGCGAATTGTCATGTGTCTGATGTGTGGAGATCCTTTCAGTGCAGATGACATACTCTTTCCTGTCCTTCAGTCCCAAACCTGTAAGTCTTCCCATTGTGGAAGCAACAACTCTGTTTTACTTGAACTACCAATCGGACTCCACAAGAAGCGCATTGAACTGTCTATTCTTTCGTACCATTCCTCATTTAGCATCAGAAAAAGCCGGTTGGTCCATGGGTACATTGTTTTTTATTCAGCCAAACGTAAGGCCTCCTTGGCTATGTTACGTGCCTTTCTTTGTGAAGTGCAGGATATTATCCCCATTCAGCTGGTTGCACTCACTGATGGCGCTATAGATGTCCTGGACAATGACTTAAGTCGGGAGCAGTTGAGTGAGGGGGAGGAGATTGCTCAAGAAATTGACGGAAGGTTCACAAGCATCCCCTGTAGCCAACCCCAGCATAAACTTGAGATCTTCCACCCATTTTTTAAAGATGTGGTGGATAAAAAGAACATAATCGAGGCTACTCATATGTACGATAATGCTGCCGAGGCCTGTAGCACCACGGAAGAGGTGTTTAACTCCCCCCGAGCGGGCTCTCCACTCTGCAACTCAAACCTGCAGGATTCAGAAGAGGATATTGAGCCCCCTTCTTACAGCTTGTTTCGAGAAGACACATCACTACCCTCTCTGTCCAAAGACCATTCTAAACTCTCTATGGAACTGGAGGGAAATGATGGGCTGTCTTTCATTATGAGTAATTTTGAAAGTAAACTGAACAACAAAGTACCTCCACCAGTCAAACCAAAGCCTCCTGTCCATTTTGATATTACAAAGGGGGATCTGTCTTATTTAGACCAAGGCCATAGAGATGGACAGAGGAAGTCTGTGTCTTCTAGCACCTGGCTACCTCCGGATGGGTTTGATCCTTCTGATTATGCTGAACCCATGGATGCTGTGGTCAAGCCAAGGAATGAAGAAGAAAACATATACTCAGTGCCCCATGACAGCACCCAAGGCAAAATCATCACCATTCGGAATATCAACAAAGCCCAGTCCAATGGCAGTGGCAATGGCTCTGACAGTGAAATGGACACCAGCTCTCTGGAGCGAGGCCGCAAGGTCTCCATCGTGAGCAAGCCAGTGCTGTACAGGACGAGATGCAGCCGGCTAGGGAGGTTTGCCAGTTACCGAACCAGCTTCAGTGTGGGGAGCGATGATGAGCTGGGGCCCATCCGGAAAAAAGAGGAGGATCAGGCATCTCAAGGTTATAAAGGGGACAATGCCGTCATTCCCTATGAGACAGACGAAGATCCAAGGAGGAGGAATATTCTTCGCAGTCTAAGGAGGAACACTAAGGTAAGATACCAGTTTAGGAATGAGTCACAGGAGTTGCTCACACAGTGTCTCAGTGAGAGCTGATTGATGATGATGATTTTCAAGGACAGCTTATTCTGGTAGAAAAAAGAAATGGATCTGTGTGTGTATTTAGTCTTTGACTTAGCATAAAGTAAGCAGTGTCTCAGATTGCTGCTACTGGCAGCTCACAAGTAGTAAGGACCTTAGATAGACAGCTTGAGTTTGAGTTGTCTTTGTCCAAAATAATAGTTAGGTAATTACCAAAATGAGCAGACCATGTAGAACTTGTCGGTAATCCTGACGAGTAGCCAAGCCAGTGACGATATGCTTGCTCTTCCTATACGTAAACACCAGAAATTAAATTGCACATTTCAGTCTCTGACTGCTAAACAAACATTTCACCCATACAGCTCGTAAAAGCTCCTTTTTCCCTCACTGACCCATAAAGTTGCTGCATTTTATTTTCTTTTTATTAAGATTTTATTTATTTGAGAGAGAGCGAGCACAAGCATGGGGTTGGGGCTAGGGGCAGAGGGAGAGGGAGAAGTAGACTCCCCACTGAGCAGGGAGCCCAATGCGATGCGGGGCTCGATCCCAGGATCCTGAGATCATGACCTGAGTCAAAGGCAGACACTTAACTGAGCCATCCAGGTGCCCCAGGTTGCTGCATTTTAGATTAGGAAAAATTGGATGATTATTTTATTTGCATACAAGTCAATGAAGGGTCTTAGGTACGTAAATGAAAAGTAAGAACCTTGCCACTGCGAGTTATAAACCTGCCCCCCACACACACAATAATAAACCTGTCCCATATTTGTAAAATTAGAGTGCCCTCCAGCTGCATTATTTTAAGTGCGATGCTGCTGCTATCAGTGAGGGCTTCAGATTTGATTTAGGGACCAAAGCGGGACGAGCAGAAAGTAAACCGCACATATTATGAGTGTCAAACCTGCCATCAGATGTAGGGGAAGCAGTTCCAAATGCAGCAGCAGAGAAAGCCTCTTTATCTTGTGTAGAATTGCAGTGTACAGAGTAGAGCGCCCTGTCCCCTTGGGCTTAGGCTTTGAAACAGAACAGTTATTTCCCAACTTTTTCTTTTTTCCCCCCTTTTTAGAGTAGAGGGAAATACTCTGTTTTTCAGAGAAAGACATCTTGGTGAGACCCGACAACAGGTCTGTGTTACATGCTAGCCCACAACCAGCCTTGGGATACACAGAATGATTTCTCTGCATTGAAAGCTTTTCCTCCTCTCCTGACCATGAAACAGCAGAGAACAAAGTGACTTGTGTGAAAACGTTTCAGGGAACTTTGGAAGAAAGCTTGCCAAAAGCTTGTGTTATTACAAGATATACCAAATCAGAAGGATCTGGAGTCCAGGCTGTTTTAAGAGTTGACAATTCTGTTGTAAAAGATCACCTGGAGGCTAGTTCTGCAGCTCTTACTGGTTAAAGAGGGCCCTCGGAGATGGAGGAACACGATGCCATGGCCCTCAGAAGGAAAATGTATTTACTCTATGTTCCCTGATAGCATACACAGTGCTCCCCAATCACCATTGGCTGGAGCTTCCAGAATTTCCTTACCTGTGTAGTTTCAGAAAGGGCAGGGCAGTATTGTGTGTTCTGTTCCCCTCCCCTTCTGAACTGAACATTAGTAGATATCATAGGCATTTGATTTCCCCTTGTTTTGTTTTTCCACTTGGATTCCTTCATCTACCTTCAGTATTTTGTTCTGCAAGGGTTAGTAGTGGGCAGACCCATGGAAAACCATTCTTATTTAGGAAGTCAGAAAGTAGCGTCACCTGCCCCCTAGTATTTCCTTAAAGCTTTCCTATTTAACAATACTGGAATCCAAACATTTTTAGCGTTTTGACTTTCTTCTCTTCCTCCTCCACTCCTGATGAAGACTGTTACCAGAATAGCTTATCTAAATGCTGACAGTCTTAATTTGTGGGGGTGTTTGCACACCTGGGAATTAGGAGGGTGGCATAATAGCACACTGAATTATAACTAATTTTCTGGCTTCTAGCTACATTTTTAATGCTTGTTGAAGATAATGCTTTTAAGACACATTCCCAAACAAGCCATGCTTTAAAGAGCGCACACGGTAGGCTCCGCAGAAAACAGCTGGTGTCCATGTTTTTGAAGAGCGACTTCCTAACCTAGAACTTCCTTACACTGGGTTGCTGGGTCAGCATGCAAGAAGTGATCGACTTCCCGTCTGTTAGTTATGTGGGCCACACCTCTTCAAGTCAAATAAAAATGATACTTCTGGCCCAAGAGCAATAGCGTGCCAGAAGTCAGTTCAGGAGTATCCTTTGGAAAGTGTGAGTAAAAGGTGAAATTGTCTTTTCCTGTCTTGGAAAATCGTGCTTTGAAATGAGTGTAGCTGCTTTGTCATCCTAATGCAGAGATAAGTAGAGCCTTTATTCTCTTCCCCGTTGGGGCAAACCTCCTATTAAAATTGCTGCCTTAAGAAAGCAGACTGACACTGGTTTTACTGGAAAAGCAAGATACCATGGGGCAGAGAATGCCAAGCCAACCCCTACGTGGGGGATTTGGCCTTTGATTTTTATTGGCATGACAAGGCAATACAGTATTTATTTGAAGTGAGGGGGGAGCCAGTTGGTAATGGAAAACACACTTAGTGCCTCCTCCATGCCAGACACCACTGGGGAAATGGCACAGATCCTTCTTGCCCAGACCGGAGCTCCCAGTTGAGGCAGCAAGACCTACACAACTACTGAAAATAGGTGGTCTGCCCAGGGGGCACTGTGTTGGGGCAGAACGGAAATCCCAGGCTGGGGGCCGTTAAGGAGCACAGTGTGTGGAGTGATCAGCAGTTTGGGTTCCGGGAAGGGGCAAGGGGCCTGGGGGCTAAAGTCCAATCTCAACTCCTCCGCTCCCTCACTGGGACCGGGGGCACGTGATTCACCTCTCCATATCCCTTGCGCGAAAATGAAGAACACAGTGGCACCTTCCTCATTTGGTTGTGAGAAATGGAGTGAGGTCATGCATGTGCGACCCTGAGGAGGCTGCATCCTGGACAGGGGTTAGGGATTGCAGTGTTGTTATTTAAGGAGACCTCGAAGAGTGAGTAGTGAGTAGGACTGAAGCCTCGGAGGTAAGTAAAGGCCTGGAGGTAAAAATGTGCATGTTGTATTCAAGGAGAGGAGAGTGCTGGTCTGGTCTAGCTTAGGGCTTGGGGGGCCAACATTGTCCCTCCCTTTTGTGTAAGTTTTAACCCTTTGTGTTCCTTAGCTGCTTTCTCAGCACTTACCCTAGCAACAGCCCTAACAACAACAACAAAAAGCTATGCTCTGGGTACCAATGTGATGTGGAGAAAGAAATTGCCCAGCTCCCTTGGCAGATTTGCTAGATTAGCTCTTTACTGTAAAATTGGAGTTGGAGTGTGAGGGAATCGCTTTCATTTCTGTTAATGAAAGTGCAGACTGTAAAGCTGACTGTCATTCTGGGTCCTTTTCCCAGCTGAACCATTTAGCAACCCACCCTCATAGTGGGAGCCTTCCGCACTCAGCTGAATGAAATTGAAAATCTACGATTGCACTTCAGTGGGGCCCATGAATAGATGCTTTGTCTGTAAAGAGTTGGTGTTGCACATGGTCTCTGTCTCTCAGTACCATGCGTTTGCAAAGATGAGATCAGGACCGGCAGGGTCTTATTTTAAAACCAAAAAAAAAACAGGCTGGGGAATCTTGCTTCACAAAATGTGCCTTTTGGGTAAGCTCGCGTTGCTGAATTTAGTGTGTTTGACCACGGATTTAAAGAGAAGACATTATTGGCCATTCACCCTTCTATCTGATGTGCTCTTATCTTTGTGTTTAAAAAAAAAAAAAAAGACAAAACAGAATGATAAAGAAAATCTTTCACTCACTGTAGCTACCACATGACAAGACAACCTATTGAAAAGCAAACCAATTCAATCACGCATTGTTTGGTCTATAAGGCACCAAGTAACCAGTTTGACAGTTTGTGTCTCCCCCCCCCGCCCCCCCAGTGAATTGGCTTATTTCATTGGATTCAGTGAATCGGCTGGTTGTTGTGGCTTTGTGTGGACACAGCTCTCATTTTGTGAGGCCTAGAACGGAGTTAAAGTTTCTAGTGTGAATAAAAACCAGCTGGGGAATTGGACTGCTAGCTCCCCAGGGTGGGATGTTGCATTTTGACAGACAAGCTGGATGGTATGAAATATGAGCTCTTTGTAACCTGCTCAGGAAAGACTCTCAGTGTGTGCTTCGGAAAAGGCTAGTCCTACTCAATGAGCTGTAAAGCCAAATAAATACCGTGGTCTTAAAAATGGGGCGGGGTGCCTACTTGACCTTGGATTTTCTGATTCCTGAAAGAATTGTTATCTTTTAAAAGAAGTACTTTTGTTCCAAAAGCATATACTCATCCATTCATTTTTGGAAAGAAACATTCAATGCACATGCGTTTAGTGAGCACCTGTGCACCTGGCTTTGTGCTGAGTACCTTGTGTGTGGTGGTTGTGTTCGTCTAGTTTAACGTCGAGGGGCTGAAGGATTTTAAACGTGCTGACATGCATTTGGATGCTGCCAGAGGAGAGGTGCAGGGTACTAAGGTATTGTAGACCAAGGGGTTTTAACTTTAGCCCGGATAGGTGGGAAAGGTCCTCAGGGAAACAGTATCTGAACTGAGACTTACAGGGTGAAGGAGGACAAAGGCAGTGAAGATGGAGGTTTCGTGGGGAGAGCTCTTGAGAAAACAGTATGGAACTTGGAGCTGGGGGGAGAAAAAACTTGAAAGAAGCCTAGAGGGGCTACTGCAGAGAGTGAGGGCTGCGAATACCATGGGAAGGGTCTTGTACTTCCCTCAGTGTACCTAGTACTTACTGCGTGCCAGGTCCGGTATCCAGCGTTGTCCTGTTGCCACCGCCCACATTAGTGTAGTTACTAAAGGGAGGAGCGGAGATTTTTGAATCTGCTCTCTGACTTTCATTTCCAGTGGGTTTTGAGAGTCCAGCCT